GGACCCAGATGTGCAGGATAGATCCCCCTGAGCAAGGGAGAGGGAAGACAGCCCACCGCCAACTCAGCCTTACAAATGAGCCCTTTGGCCAGCTGATGTAGATACTGATGCCAGGGCCTGGGCCTGCTCTGGGTCGAACCGGCCACGAACTGAAACAAAAGCCAATAATCACTCCCCAGCGTGGTATTTTAGGTAGGACCACATGCACATCTGGAAAAGGGGGAGCAGAAGGAGGCAAGACAGGAGTTCCTGCTCTGGCAACTTTTGTTTGTCTGAGCATGGGGTGCCAAGAATTGAACTAATCATAAACTTTGGTTCCTGATACTCAACATTGGTCTATCCAGGCCCCACTTTCATTTTTCATTTAATCAGCCACTAATCTTTATTAATGGAGAACTACTTTCCAACCCATCCTTCCCTCCCCCAAAAGGTAAAGTATTGACATTAACTTAACACTAACCATACGATTTACCCCACCATGTGCTTCCAACCATCTGCTCCCCCATAACTTCGCCCTAAATCCTCTGTCCAACATTACTTTGCTTTTCTTCTCATAGAGCATTATTGTAGTTATATGTATTCCTAGAAGATATTTTCTTTAATTTTAGCTCTTTTTAAGTTTATAAGATGCCATGCTCTGTCTTCCAGTGCATTTCTTTTACTTAATATCCTATTACCAAGATTCATCCATATTTTTGCATGTCAGTGTTGCTCATTTGTTTTGCCTGAGTATGATCCTGCACCGTGTGAAAACATCAACTAATCTGCCCTCCAACTAGTGGGCATTTGGGCTTTTACCAGGCTTCCAGCATTACGAACATGGTTGCATGGGTCTCCTTCTGGACATGAGTTTCTCTTGGGCATATGTACTTAGGACTGCAATTGCTGGGCCATAAGAAATGTGAATTTCAACTTTGGGAGAAAATGAGATAACATCCAAGTGTTTTCCATTTCATAGCATTTCCTAGAGCTTCTAAAATGATCATTTCCTCTTCCTGGCCTTCTCAATTTCGCTCCTCTAAATTTCACATGTCAGTTCCATCAAAATGTTTAAACCAAGTTCTTTGCCTAACACGTGAAGAGCATTTCAGATAAATCTCCCGGGGTGGAAAAGAAGGGTCTTGTCAGGACCACAGGTAACAGGAAGAGTGTCTACACAGACTCAGGGACCCACCCCAGTCCAGACACTGACGCAGACTAGCCAAAAGAAAGAGAGCAGTCTAGAAGCTGTTTCACACCTGCTTCCCATCCCAGTTTGCTCGTTCTGTCTCTCCTCCCCCAAACCTCCCATAACCACCACACATACTAATTTTTAAACAAAGAACAAAAGCCTGTAAATGGAGGGAACATTATTTATGAAATAACCAATTTCAGGTTCAAATGAGAGCAAGGGGTCTAGCTTGGACACCACTGCAGATTCTGACCCATTTCAGTAAACATTCAGAGAACACTTTGCAGTGTAACCCAGCACACGGACAAATAAGACCTCTATTCTGCCCTCAAGGTGCTGTGAGTTTGTTCATTTCCCAAGACAGGGTTGTACGTGATGTGCCACCAGCGTTAGCGCGGAGAAGGTGGGAGATGCTAGCCTGATCTCGAGACGCTCATTGTGGAAAGATCAGCCGAAGTTAGAAGGCAAGTGAGCCAAATACAGGAGCTGGTCGAAGGTGAGAGAGACCAATTCTCCCCCAAAGGGTGTTCTGCAGGAGAGCTCCTGGGGAGTGGTGCAGGAGCTGGGTTTTGAAGGGCAAACCCAGCCAGCGAGAGGAGAGAGAACCAATAAAGAACAGACATAAAACAAGAAACCCAATTCCTTACTCAGACTTCTTGACCTTCCCATTTTCGCCTCTTTTCAAATTTCTTAAATCTATTTCCGGCCTCCAGTCACGCGAAAGCACTAAGAAAGTGGAACCCGTAGAATGCTGTTAAACATGCATTGTCTGCATTAATTTATTTTTTCCATAAACAACAACACAGTCCTTCCCCATCCAGCATCTGGCCCCGTGCTAGGCTCTGGGGATGCACCAGTAGAGAAGATGGGCCAGTTCCCGCCATCACCCAGCTCCTGGGCAGACAGAGGTTTAGACAAAGACAGGCAGTTGACTTGGCCTGACCATCAGCCAGACTCCATCATCCTGGGATACCCCCTCCCCCACTCCACCCTCCCCCGAAACATTTTCAGTAAATTGTACAGGATTAAAGAAATGGCTGCCTTCTCAGTAATTAAAAGGATCCTGACCAGCGTCCCAGGTAGCCAAGTGGCTGCTGAGAGCTCGGAGACCAAAAAATCAGGTGCTTCCTACAAAATAGCCTCCAATCTGATACTTGATAGCTGTGGGTTTCCAGAGTCAAACAGATGTCAGGAATTTTATGAAGGCAGGAAGCAAATAAGGGAGCGAGGATTGGGGTCTAGGCCTCGGGGGAGCTCAATTAGTGAGCCAGATAAAGTTAAACCAAAAGGGCATGCTCTCGGTTTCCTAGAAAGCCAGCTGGAAAAGATGCCAATCCTTAAGCCTCTGTCACTCAAAAGATTAACAGAAGAGACCCAGGGGTGCCCAAGGGAATATTGCAACAAACCAGATGTTTCTGCTTCTCTGACACTGGCCACCAGAGCCACACTCCTCAGGCCATCAAGAAGCCACAGAAGAGAGCTGGAATCTTTGGGGATTGCCTGAAACTCAAAGGCATCACCCTTTAGCGATTCAGACACCAAAAAATATTATTAACCCTTTCTTACAACCTCCCCTAATGCGTCCAGGTTCAGTATTATCTCAAGGAGCCATCTCTTCCTGTGAGAGGGACAGCGCCACTGGTGGGATGAGCGCTCCCTGCGGCGGCTTGGTGGCAGGGAGAGCACACCACCTGAACATCCATATAAACTGGGACGTGGGGCCCACAGCTACATGTGCACCATGAGTGTTTCAAGCAAGCCTGTTAGCTTCCCAGGGTCTCACTTGCAAAATGGCACTAACAAGACCCCCTTCCTTGTTGTTCTATGCTTAAGCGGTCATGGAAATGGCCCAGCCCCCGTGTCCCTGAACGGCAGCTCTTCTTGTAGCCTATAAATGCACCCAAGTAAGCACATGCTCAAGACAACAGCTTTCCCTTGGTACTTTTACAGTGTGTGTGTGTGTGTGTGTGAGAGAGAGAGAGAGAGAGAGAGAGAAAGAGAGAATGCAGCTGGGATCCACACAAGCCTATTTACAGCTCCTGTTTTATTTCATCAGATCTATCAAATGATTAAACTAAAGAAGCTAGAGGGAAACCTAACCAATGTCCCGATTTCCCCCTAAAGCCTCTAGCCTTCCCCTAAAAGTTGCTTCCTCCAATTTCAGGAGGCAGAGAAGGAAAGCCATATGGCTTGAGATGCTAGACATGCCCAGCAGCAAACGAGCCCCCCACCATTTGTCTCCGGGCCTCTCGTGTGGGCGGGCATCCAGATTTCAGTCGGGGTGCTCTGGTCTGCGTCTCTGTCTTGACTGTTCCTAATTATTGGAGGGAACGCTGTGGCTCTCCTGACCTCGGAGTTTAAGAGCTTCGGAGTCCTAATATCAAACCAAGCAGCTTCATTTAAAAGGCATCCTCATCTGCATCCATAAAAGTCCCTCCCGGAGCCCACACTCGCCCCAGCTTCGAGAACGCCTGCTGTCGAGGATTTACGACACACCCTGGATCTAATCTGTGGCACCTTAACTGCTTTCTGTGGCACATCTGGTCATAAAAGCAAGGGCCGGCACAACACGGGGACAAACACTTTTCTTTCCTAAGTGGCTGCAAATCTGATCTCCCAGTGATAGCTGGGCTCCCACGTCAGCAGCAGCCGGTATCCGGGCGGTCGGGAAGGCTGGCCAGCCTTTGCAAGGCTTTTCCTCCACACACGACAGCCATAAAGAGGACTCTCCTAGAGCAAGAGCTCCGAATAAAGAACCTGCGGTCTGAACAGGTGGTAATGGGGCTAGGCCGGCAGATACCCAGGAAAGCCCCCGGCGCTTGGGGAGCCGACCTTGTTTTCACAAAGATTCCAGCTGCTTCACACGGACTCTCAGGCTACCAGTCGAGGCAAGCCTCTATCCGGAGAGACTGCCCTGACATAAGCTGATTCTTGGCCAGAGATCCTCTGGATTAAGTTCGGTCAAATGAACCACCAGGTGGTTTAATAGCACTTTTTTTTTTTAAGGCAGCGGAATCCTTCATTTAGACCAATTGGGGTGGGAGGAGCAATAATTTAGACCAGCCATGAACACAATGCCTTCCGTTCCAGGAGATTTTACAACGCTCTGGACAGCCTGTCCTGTGCACAGAATTGGCACGTTTGCATATCGTTCAGAAACTCCAATCAGACCAAGGTTCAACAAGTAGTTCAACCTCCCAGCCCCGAAGTCAGGGGGAAAAGACTCTTGAGCACTGCGCAGCGCCTCTCCGCAGCCCCCCACCTCCACCCCTGCTCCGGGGCTGTGCCCAGCAGGAGAGAGCATTAAAATTATCTGCCGTGGGTTTTACGAGCAGCGATCACTTTTTAAAACAACAACAACACAAGGTCCTTGTGTGGCTCTCAGGTAACCTAAAACTCTGGAGGCAGAGCTGCCCCCCACCCCCTCGCCGCCTGCCAAGAACGCCGGCGCTCCGGGACCCAGACCGGGCGCGGCGTGAGACCACAGGGCAGCCCACTCGAGAGGAGAGCGAGCCTTTTTCGGACGCTGGAGGCACCCGCTGGAGCAAAATACTCTAGGAGAAGAGACAGGGAAAGAAAACCCAGTGACAGTTCGAGGGGGAAGGCGGGAGGCCGATCGGCGCTGCAAGAAAGGAGGGAGGTGGGGGGAAGAACGGGAGAAATTTTTATTCGCCCAGAAGCCCACGGGGACCGGTGGTAGGTGCGGGGTGGCGGGGGGAGGACACCTCCCTTCCCCCTCCACCCCCACCCCCACCCCCGCCCCGAGGGATGGGGGCAGGCGACCTCAGACTCCCTCCGCAGGTGGGCGCGCGGCCGGGGGCGCACTTACCCTGGGGCCCGTGGTGCGGTGGCCGCGAACTAGGGACAGCTGCACCAACACGAGCAGCAAGTGGGGCGTGAGCAGGCGGGCGCAGCGCGCGGGCAGCATGGTGCCAGCCGGGCCGGGCAGCCGGCTGCGGGCGGGGGACGCGGATTCCGCGGGGCGCGCGGCTGCGCCTGCCTTCCTGCCTTCCTTCCCTCGGGGGCCCTCGCGGCGGCCGGGCGGCGGGGCGGCGGGGCCGGCGGCGCTGCGCTCAGAGCGCGCGGTCATGAACCGCCAGGGAGGGGAATTGGAGCGCGAGCGTGTGCTCTGCGCGCGGCGCTCGCTCGCTCGGCTCGGCCGGGCCGCGGCGGCAGCAGGTTGGACGCCAGAGCCCAGGCCATGGGAATTCCCGTTATAAACCCCCGGGAGGGGCGGGGCGGAGCCGGGCGGCCCTGATTGACAGGCCGAGGGGCCCGTAGCAGCCGACCCTCTGGCAGGTGAAAGCCAATCGGAGAGCGGACAGAGGGGCGGCTCGCGGTCAACCCCACCGAGGAGAGACACCCGCTTGCTCAGCCGGAGTGGGCTCCGGGAGAGCCTGGGAGGAAGAAGAACTTTCTCGCGGTCCTTCTGTCTGAGGAAGCCTCGAAGAGTTCCAGCGGCCCTAACTCCCGGAACGCCCACCCGGCTAAAAAGTCAGGCCTTAAGCGTGGGTAATTTTCGACAGAATTCCACAAGTTGTCCCAACAGTCCTGTAAAATAAGCAGGAAAAATATTTGTAGCCCCATTTTTCTGAAGAGGATACTAGGGCTCAAAGGAGTTAAGAAATCTGTTTCCTCATCGCATCAACACCAAAAACAACTGAGAAGGGGACCCGCGCGGGACAGGCTGTGAATGGCCTTGGGAGTGGGGAGTGCATGCGTTCACTTCTTGTAAAGAAGCTTCCAGGGGATGACAACCCAAGTCCTAAAGCATTTCCCCCAGGAGAAGTGCCTAGGAGATAAGGTGAAGCACATCCTAGTTATCCACCTGCTGGGGAGGGCCCCTGTGGCTATGGGGTAATGCCCACCTGGAATCCTGCAGGGGGTGGGGATGGGAATCCAGGATTGGGACCCAGGCATCCTGACTCCCTGCCTTGGACTGGAGGGCCAAGGGGCAGCCACACTGTGGCCTATGAGTTCTGGGAGAGGAGGTCAGAGGGGACCTGTTCTCCAACTGGGGGAGTGGAAGAAAAATATTGATGGGGAGGGATGGTCTCTGGGTGCAAAGACCCCACAGCTGGGTCAGAGTGGGGAGAGGAGACCTCTCCTGGGTGCCCAACCCACTTGGAGACGATAACACCACAAAAGGTCCAGCCGGATGTTGAAGGTCTCTGCACAGGATAGTCTCCAAAGGGCCGTCTTGGGAATGGTCACAGCTGCATCACACCAGCTCCTGGGCCAGAGCACCATCCACTGCATTCAACCCAAGAGAACCATGGCTTCCCTTTTTGTGTGGATTATAACCCTTAGGGTTTACTTCCATTGAATGGACCACTCACTACATGAGGAGGGAATCCTTTCTCCAACCAGACAGGAAGCATCAGCACCAGCACTTAATTCCTCCCCCGTGTCTGTGCCTGAGAGGTCCTACCAAATGTTAGCTCTGCTCCCTTATGCCTTCTCCTCTGGACTGTGTGAACATACTTCCCACCCAACTCCTGCCTTCGGCTTTGCCTTCTCCCCTTGCTGCCTCATCCAGCCTCCACCCTACATCCCTCCAAAAGAGCAAACCTGAGTGTACTGCTCCCTACTTAATAGACTTAAACTCTGCCCGGTGCTCTCTGATAAGAGAGCCCAGACTGGATGCTGGAACAATAACAAAAGTACTTGTCGTTCTCCAGACAAAAACAAAGACCATCTCTCAGGGAAGTGCCTGTCTTCCTCTGCTGAGAAGTAACACAGTGGTCAGGCTGCTTTCTGGAGCTAGACAGGATGGGTTCAAATCCTGGGTCTGCCACCTAGTGGCATAACCTTGCACAAGTCACTTTACTCCTCTGGGGTGCAGTCTTTTCCTCTGTAAAATGGGGATAAAAATAGTCTCTACTTCACGAGTGGTCAGGATTCAAGGAGATGGTTAAGTTAGAAATACCACCTCTGGCTAAGAAGAGGGCAAGGCAAATGGCTCATCTCATTTTATCCTCAGAATGATCCTGTGAAGTAGAGAGATAGATCCAACTTTACAGGTAAGTAAACAGATAGTCCAGGAGATTGTGACTTCCTTTCCTCATCTGGCTGGTAAAGGACATCCGAGAGTCAAGGCTAGGTTTTCAGATTCTAATTCCGCCTCTGTCGTGTGATGACCACAGTGTCCAATCTCAAATGCCATAGGGTTAGATGCTCCCTGTGTGGTGGACAGAGAATCTCAGCCGTGACCTGCAGAAGAACTGAGACTTGGGAGAGGCACCGAGCTTCAGGGGAACAGCGTGGAAACAGCCCCTATGATCTGGCCTGCTGGGAATTCGCCCAGCTGGACTCGTGACACTGGCCCAATACTACTGTGCCTCATGCAGCACTTAGATTAATTTCCGTGTGCCCTGTGTGTTCACGCACCAGGGGTAGGCAGGATGGAAATGTTATCACCGAGCTCCGCAGCCTGACAGCTCTGTCCTGACTCCACCACCTGGCCATGTACACATGGTCAAGCTGGTCAACTTCTTCCTGTTGCTGGAATTATTGAGAAATCTGCTGGAGTAAGTAAATATGCTTGCGATGGCCCCCCAGTATCTGGCAGCTCCGCGCACCCAGGGAAAAGGCATTGCAATCGTCCTTTCCATCCATAACACCACATGCTGCTTTCTAGCCAGAAAGCCTATTTCCAACTGGTTGCTGGTCCAAAAGTCTACATTTTCTGGATTTCGACCATGTAGCTTAGTTTAAAATATGAGCAACTGCTTTCCAGTTACTTTGCTCAGCAAGTATTTTCTTTCCCTCTGGTTGGCATGCAGGGCCTGTCGTAACCATGGCTATCATTCAAATGATGCATTTTCTTCTCCCGACTCCTCCCAACCCCAGAGAAGGTTAGAAATTCCAGAGAACTACTAGTCCCAAACAGCGTGTCTCTGCCAGGCTCAATCTTCTGATCCAAGCAAAAAGTGAAATTGACAAGTTCCTTCTTTCCCTGGAGGCCAGGCTTATGGTCCAAAAATAAATTTAGCTATTCTGGCATCTGGTCTGTCCAGTTCCAGCCATACTCCTTGCCCTGTGAGACTTCTATTTGCAAGGGGATATTTCAGTAGAAGAAAAATAATACTTTATATCCCATATTGAGGCCTGAGGGCCTCAAATATTTAGTATTAGCTCGGAATGCCCGTTTCAAGAATATGTTTCTGTATAATCCAAAGGAGACCTGCCTTGTCTCATATTACAAATAGAACCTTTCCATTTATTTTAACAAGCACTTTGATGCATCTCCTTCTGTGCCCGGCACAGTGCTCACTATTATGAGGAATTTTGGGTGCACATCCTGCCCTCTGAGTGGTTATAATCTAAGACACAAAGCAGACAGATTCTTGGAGACCATTACTTAAAAGCAATGTATTTTGGGGACTCAGAGAGTGGGGATCCACTATAGACCTAACGACCAGGGAAGGCCTCATAAAGAAGGTAGATCTTGAATGAGGCTTTGGAGAAAAGTCCTTCTATGATATAAATATACTTTGATTTATGTTTGCTTCACTTGTGACAACAGCTACCAACAGAAAAGGGTGAGTTGTGTCCAAGGTCCTGGATTCTTTTCAAATATACTCCTGTACCCAGAAACCTGGGACACCAAGAATCTTGGGTTTTAAAAAAAGAAAAATATGTGGGGTGATGGATATGTTCATTGACTTGATGGGGAAAACCTTTCATAATGTATACATATATCAGATCATCATGGCGTGCACCTCAAGTATTTTACAATTTTATTTGTCAATTGTACCTCAATGAAGCTGAAAAAATATGCATGTCAAAAGTAATTAGAGTGGGGGCGCCTGGGTGGCTCAGTGGGTTAAAGCCTCTGCCTTCGGCTCAGGTCATGATCCCAGAGTCCTGGGATCGAGCCCCACATCGGGCTCTCTGTTCGGCAGGGAGCCTGCTTCCTCCTCTCTCTCTCTGCCTGCCTCTCTGCCTACTTGTGATCTCTGTCTGTCAAATAAATAAATAAAATCTTTAAAAAAAAAAAAAAGTAATTAGAGTGAACAAGTTAGAAGCTTATTTCTCTCTTTTGTACACAAACTCCCTTCAAAGTCAAGGGTAGCTCCCTCTAACCCAGGCTTCTTCTAGTATCGCCCTGTCATTTCTTTCTTTCATTCTTTTTTTTTTTTAAGATTTATTTATTTATTTGAGAGAGACAGAGAGAGCATGCAACCAGGGGGAAGGAGCATGCAACCAAAAGGGAGTGGGAGAGAAGCAGACTCCCCACTGAGTGGGGGGCCCCAGAGGGAGCTCAATCCCATGAACCTGGGGACTCCATCCCACAAACCTGAGATAACTTGAGCTGAAACCAAGAGTCATATGTTTAAATGACTGAGCCACTCAGGCACCCCATACTGTGTCATTCTTCATAAGCAGCTTCTACCTCAAAATCCAAGATCACTGCTCAAGCTCTAGACATCACATCTCTTTTCTCATCAGCAGGGAGAGAAAAGGGCCAAAAAGGAGCATGCCTCTCTCTTTAAAGACATCTCCCAAGAAGTCACATTTCATTGTATCTGTATGACCACATCTAGCTACAAAAAAAAGATTGAAAAATCTTCATCTTAATTGGAGGTGGCCACAAGTGTCCAGCTAAAAATCAGGTTTTATGTTACCAAGAAGAATAAAATCCTGGAAGACAACTAGCAGTAGGGGCTATCATCATTATGATGCCTAGAGTTGCCAAACAAAAGAACCATAAACAATGCAATAGAGCTCAGAATGTTAAGTTGTGGCTTTTCTCCACCTCTGCATGTCCAACTCCCTCATGCTCAAAAACATTAATAGGCTTAGGGCCAGACACCCAGACTCTTTTTTTTTTTAAGATATTATTGGCATATAACATTGTATTAACACAATGATTTGGTATATGTATATTTGTGAAATTATTACCACAATAAGTTAACATCTGTCTCCTCAAATAGTTACAGTTTTTTCTTATGATAAGAAC